CTGTTTCTCACGCTGCATTCCAAGGTGTTGTCATCAGGATTATTCTTTCTTTTTTAATCAAACTAAACTGCATTTTACCAGTTTCTTATACTTTCAGTCCCTCAAAGTCAGATATTTTTGTTGTTGTGCTATGTATTCGGTTTTCAGTTGAGGACTTTTAAATATCAAGGATTTATACACAGTATTTTTTGAGAGTAAAATTACACAGTAAATTATGTAGTGTCCACTATGTTACATTCTAAGTAGGCCCTTACAAAATTACTTGTGCTTACATAAGATACAGGGGCTACAGCATATTTATTAAGACTCTTCAACTCTGTATGAAACTGGAGCAGTCAGAAGTAATGGTGTCTGCTGAAAGATTCTTTATCATATGAATTTACTTTTAGTCATCTATTATTTATTTCAGCTATTTTATATGCCATTATAATAAATATTATGACAGAGAAAGCTTTTATGCTTCAACTTATTGTACTACTCTTCACTTCCTTGCAATCCTTCAGGAAAATGTAGCTATGCTTTACCTATATTTAACGTAAATCATCACTTACATTTGAATGAAAAATTCACTATGAAAAAAGGCTCCTTCTTCAATACCAAGACACAAATGCACAATCATGTTTACTGCCAAACTACTCTACCATGCAGTGTTCATTTTTAAACAGTTTTTAAGTTGTAAAGTGTACACAGTGCATACAGTGAAATTGCTTGCTTTTGGATGTTTTCACTTCCTTGTTAGTTTCTGGCTCAATAAGCATTTTTCTAGCATGAGTGCAAAATATAACCAATTGTGTTTAAGCATTTTTAATATTTTTTGCTCTAATAGGGAGCAGCTTACAGACAAAACTGAGTAAACTGTTTTCTGCTGCTATTTAGAGTAATGAAAGTTACCTGGAAATACTGATAAAATGATTTTAGAACTGGGCATAAAATCATTAAATTCAAGATAAAATTTTTTCTTTGCACTTTGCAACATGTTGTTGTGTTGTGTTTAAAGAGGACTTGTTAGGAACCAAAGGATAATCCACTTTCAATGTTTCTTCAAAGACAGGATGTTGGTGCCTAGACGTTCTGAGCCTTGAACTGCTCTTTGGGCTTCATGAAACACAAATACTCCCTAACCCAAAAGCACAGTTTCAGTTGGTTTTAGCTGACCTTGTTTCCACACAGTTCAGTAGACAGCAGAGGTGTATCTGCCTTTGTGTCTGTTGTCCTTTTGGCCAGTTTACAAAGCTGGTCTGAGTCTAGCTCTGAAAGTGGTTTTGGGCACATTGGGCCTTTTGTCCTGGCAATCTGCAGTGAGGGCACCAGCTCATGTTGCAGAGGCTCTCAACAGTGCCACGTAGTAGTGATCCTGATTTAGAACTACTCCACACTCATTCTGTTACTTAGTTTCCCCTTAATTTATGTTATTGAAAATAAAGTAACAAAGGAACCATTAATATCTTTTGTTGATTTAATTTTAAAAAATCTGGAGTTTTCTACCTTAGCGTGTTGATCTTACGATGTCAGTTTTAAGACTGTGTTCTGTATTTGGGAAAGTGGCAAGTCCCATTTAAGATTTCATAACATAAAGTGAGCCATAATTCAGTACTGAAAATATGTGAAGTGAAATAGTGAGAGACATCAGCATAATACAATTATGACACGTTAGATCAGGATTTGCTGTGTACCATTAACAATCAGTTCTGACTGTGGATAACAATTACAGTTATGGTGCCTTTTAGCAAAAATTTTTTTTCATTTTATTTTTTTATTAAAAAACATGTTTTCTTTTTCTGTAAATATCACAATACACGCTACCAAGGCTTATAGGGAAGGATGGAAAACATAAGAAAGGTGATACTGAGCTACTGTAAGAAAATAAACAAAAAAGCATCTATTTGTCATTGATTGGAGCTGTTATAACATTAAGAATTACTAAGAACATACCTTGCAATTATATTGCTTAATTCACAGGTTTTTTAAAGAAATTGTGCCACTGAGGTATGAGTGGGAAAATTTGCAATGAAATTTTGGGATGAAACAGGTGTGATACTAAAGGCCTAGCATTTCGCTTTCTCAAATTACAGAAAGAATTGATGGTCTACAGAACACCTCTGTGGAGTGAAAGGTGCTTGAGTATCGGTTGACAAGGGAGAATCTGAAACAGATCGGCCAGGTTCTGTTTGTAGAAAATGAGCTTGGCTTCTTGTGTGCCTTCAGAAGCAGGGAAACAGAGCAAATGACTGTCTCTGTGCTCAGTATGGACCTTGTGTATATCCAAGAGAAATGCAGGCTGTTACCATCAGGTTTTTAAAAAGAAAATTCAGGGAGAATGTTTAAAAAAAAAAAAATGTTTTGCCATTTGCCTTTGCTGACCTATTCAGTGAAAGATATTACTAAACCCATACTTCTTTTTCCTTCTTCGTTTTTCCTTTTTCAGTTCATTTTAGATGCAGTTTCCTGAATTTCTTAATGGATGTTTTCTTTGTCTTTTTCTGTATCTGTATGTGTATCAAAGCTAAAAGAAAAAAAAGGTGAAGTAGCGTCACATTGTTTGAAATAAAGTATCTTACTGTCTGAAGAAAATAGAGTGTGAACAGAAAGGTGGTCTCATTTCACTGATGAAACTGGTACAGAAGAAACCTGACTACAGGTTGCATTTGATGTCTAACAGTCAACCACTAATTTCAAAAATATATTTATGATTTCTAGATTTATGATTTTTACATTTTCAATATATTAATTCACAAATCCAGACCAATCTTAGTCTGTTTAATTTCTGTTTCTGAAAGCATTTTGGAGACCTCATACTCTTTTTTCCTTTTGGACTTGAAATACACAGATACCTCTCTTCTGTTCTTGGACTCAGTAGCAGCAGCCTAACACATGACACGAAGAGGAGAAGCATCACCTGAGTAATATTGTGGGGGCTTCAGTCTGTGTCCCCAAGAGGACAGTAGCTAGCAGCTTGTGGTATAGTCTGTTGAACTACTTGATTATTATTTTTTTTGACCCCCTCATGTCCCTGTATTTGTAGCCTTCTTGTCCTTTTACCCTTGGGAGAGCCAAGAGAGTGTTTCAACCTAGGAAAGCAGAACCAGTGTAAACCCAGCTATGCACACTGCTTCTCTATTAAGTAAACAGCTTTGAACTGAGAAGTTGTTACAGAGCTCTGTTGCATAATGCAAGGCAGCATCATCTTTCTCAAGTCTCTGACCATCAAACAGAAGAAAATATTTACCCAGTGGGGCAGAATGAATTCCAGGATGATGTGCATCTTGTGACAGTAAAAAAACCCCTCTTTATAACCAAGTTAAGTTTGGTTTTGCATTTTCAGACTCCATCAATTGATACTTCCTATGGAAACTGAACCTGTTGAAATTTTAGTTATATTTATTTTGTTGTTCTGGTAAGTCTGGCTGGAGCGGGACAAAAAGATTTTGAGTGACATTCTGTTTAAACCCAACCTGTAAGGTAGTTTTGGTGGGCAGAATGGATGCTAGCAAAATAGAAAACATGTAGGGAGAAGAGTGCCAGATGTAATGAAGCATGAAGATCAGATGCAATGCTTGAGCTTGGGAGACACTGGAGCACTCTTCTTGGCTTCCTTCTGTGCTGACGTGTGCTGCTTCCTTCTTCTTCCTCCAGAAATACTCATTGTGTAACCTTGTAATCACAGTAGATCCTTGTTTTCACCATGGTGCTAACAAAGCTCCTATCGCCTCTCCACTCAAATGCTGCCTTTGATTGCATAGTACCACTGTATCTGTGCCCTCTTTTTCTTACTTTTTCTTTGAGCAGTGCTAATGCCGAGTCTGATCCATGACCACTCTATGTAGGTGTAGGTGTCATGTTGGAATTACATGAAGTGTCCCTCTAATTTCTTTTTTTGCTGAATAAGCTAAGCAGAGTAGGCTGGAAGTTGACATGTTTAGGTTTGGGGAGAGTACAGGGCTTTTGCCAGCTTTTCTTTATGTACCAGAGTGGTTATGTGGTGATGGGCAGCAGTGAGCCTTAAAGTAAAGGTGAGCACAAGTAACACATATTCATACTTCCTTAGGGGATCTATGTGACTTGTATGTCATGACGGTTGGTATTTTTGCAGAGGATCATAGATGTCTGAAAGTACAGCGTCTGTGGAAGACTTAGACAACTGTTGGATGTGGTGGTGCAGACACACAGCTGCAGTGAAATGAAAGCTCCTTCAGAGCTGTGGCTTGGAAGAACCACAGTCTCCTGGGTTCTGTGGTGACTTGCTTTCACTTAAGTGCTTGCAATGAAAATAGACTTAGTTCATTTTGTTCCAAGATTTGAAGTGTGATTCAAAAGGTCTGAGAAAGCTTAAAGCTGAAAATTTTGAGAAGAGTTGTTTTGGTGGTGGCCAAGGTCATTGTGTGGGATTGCATGTCCTCTTCTAGGGGAAAAAGTTTGTTTTAAGCCCAGATGCAATTTCTTTAGAAGATATGCACTCATAAACTCTTATTCTGTGAAAAACTGTTGTCTGATCAATTGTTTTCTACACTTATTTAATACTTTTATGTCACTTGCTATGAACAGTAGATTGTTTTGAATTACTATGTGCAAGTTTGAATTTAGCTGTTTTTTATAGAGTAGTTGCTGCGTATTTTTGTTTTGGTACACTGTGTAAAGAATACCATGCGTTAAGAATAATGCTTCCTCTACTTTATATTTCATGAGTTACATAAGTTTCACCAGCAAAATGGAAGCAAAAAGATACCATATTAACCTTAACACTACTTTGTGTTGATTCATTTTATTATATAGAGCTGTGTGTTACACAGCATATGTTTTTAGCAGAACTACAAAATTGCAATGCTACTTTTGGCACTAAATATTGTGCTCGTCCATTTGTTTTGATGATTTGTATTCACTTTGGGGTTATAATGTTAAACAAGGGAATCGGGTAAGTTTCATAACACATTTTCTGTAACATGATACTGTGAACTAAACTTGCTGTTATTTATCTTTTTTTTTTATATTTTCTCTTGTTCCAGCATAAAGCCAAGGTAGAAGCAATGACCTTAGACCTTGCTTCTCTTCAGAGTGTGCAGCACTTTGCTGAAGCATTCAAATCCAAGAATGTGTAAGTACTCAGAAAGTTACATGTAAAAATTTCCTGTTATTTTAATGTCTCTATCAGCTGAGCACAGTTGGCAGAATTCACCACGGTTGGACTGATCTGCAGTTAGTGAATAATCTTTTCACAGGAATTTTTTTAAACGTAAATTAAACATCACTTGTTTTCATCCTGAAAAAATAATTACGGATCTCTTATTATTCCATGTAGCCCTAGAATTAAAAGGAGCATTGGCACCCCTGTGGCTATTGGAAAAGGTCAAAGCTGAACTGCATAAAAAACAGCTCAGGCAACTTTTATCAGTTTTGCAGTGGCTTGGAAGAGGTCAGGGATGAGCAATTAGTGCACTTCTTGTCTTACTTTCTTTTCTAACCTTTTTTCTCTCTCTCTTTTTATTTTAAAGCATTAAAAAAATAGCCCTATGAGCCAGACAGCTCCATTTTCCAGATCTCTATCTGGAATAGTCTATAATTAAAAAAAAAAAAAAAGGAAAAAAGAAAAAAGGGGGGAGAGGGGTTCGTAATGACATCACTTAACAATAGACAAATTTATATGGCGATAATCAGGTTAGCTTCCAAATAGCTTGTTTAATTTAGCTCGAACAGAACAATGAATCTCTAAATCGAAGAAATGAATTGAAATCTTTAATTGCCAACTCTTGGCAATAAATTCTGCACTTTGTGCTTTTATCCACAGTTTGACCCATTGATTGTTGTGAGTATTCAAACTTTGCTTTTTTCTGCGAATATTTATGTAACACATATACATCTTACTGAGCTTCTCAGGAGAATTTGGCCTCTTAGCTTTGAAAATATATTGTCGTAGGGAAAATATATAGCAAAGCATGTTTTTTTACTTCTGAAATACTGCCAAAGCTGAATCTCACATGGATAGACAGATGACATTTTAGTACTTATAGATCTTTTAGATTCAAAGAATTGTCAGAACTGACTTCTAACACAAGTTCCTTTACTGCTAAAATCCTTGGTAACAATATTTTCTTACCGTATATTATCTTCATGTATTAAAACTTTCTTGAAATAGGAAAACATACCCTTGCAGTATCACTGCTTTAATACTAAGTCAGTTTCATAATATGCAAACAGTAAGTGTTTGAATTTAGCTTCTTCATTCTTTTAATATGCTAAATTCGTTTAAAAACTGTATGGTCAGTAAAAAGCTAAAACCACCCTTCTTCCAAATGCAGCTCCTAACATGATTTGTATGTTGTAGATCATATCATGGTCATCCTAGCTAGTCCATTTGGTATGCATGTTTGTAAATCCTTTGAAGTGAACATACGCAAATCAATTTTTGCCAGAGAACTTAGAAAATGAGAAGATACAGAATCAGTAAAGATATATGATCAGTAAAACCTGGTTTACTTTTGTTGGTATACATTGTTTTACCAGTGTAGGTCCATTAAGCTACATTGTCAGTGATGGACAGGTTTTACGAATGTTTCACTCTCATTTTACTTGGCAAACTTTTAGTAGTAGACAGCATTTATAGCCTCTGCCTTGCCTTCAGATATTTGTGTCTCAAATGCATGATTAGATGTGTCCAGCAGGGCTACTCCAAGCATTGTAGGAAAGTTTAAGGTCTGCATCTGTTGTGAGACTTGTGAGGTTTTGACCAAAATGAATTTCCAGTTATATTTTGTTTAAAGTCTGAGACTGGATGGAAACCAGACCCCACACACTGACTGTAGCCGTGGATCTTTTATCTGATGCAGATACACAAGAGTTACCTTACAATCATCTGCACTGGCAGGAGAATGGACTGGAAGACCTACCAGGGCTTTTTGGCTCTGATTTTCTGTGATTTAACTATGTCTGGATATGGTCAGAAAAGCAATTATATGGCAGTAGCATCTTATTACTACAATGCTAGCCCTATGTGTTTTCCAGCCCTAATGTACACTAACTACTTTGTCTCTTCAGTCATTTGTTTTGCCGTAGTGTCCAGAGGCTTTTGTCAGATCAGTGATTCCTTTGCATTAGTAGCTTTATGAGCAATTGAAAGAAATCTTACAGGCTTTGGTGACAGGCTGAGTCTTCTTGGTTTTGCTTTGGCAAGTGTCTCAGCTGGTAGCCTAACTTTCTTAAAAGGCTTTAGCATCTCTGATCTCATGCACCTGTAGGAGAAGGCATTCTGTGATACTCTCCCCAGTTCCCATGAGGTAGCTCAACGTCCTGTTAATGAGCATGGGAAATAAGTTGAGTACAGACTTCTCTTTCTTACAAAGTCTCTTACAGATTTCTTAATAATAAACTAATGGGAAAGGCAAATTAAGTATGTGTTTGTTTTTCTTAAACAAAACTATAATTTGAGTTCTGAGTTGTATAGATCTTGGTTTCTGGAAAAAAAAAAGACTACAATAATTTTAAAGTATGAAGGAGAAAATTTATATGAACTCACATGTTTTAGTAAAGATTTGTATTTTTATTTCTTACAGAATGTTATGTGAAGAGGCCTTTTGTATTCAGTGGTGAATATGTTGCATTTCATGGTTTTATTGTCTGTTTTATTTCTCCAGTCCACTGTTGCTTTCTGGGAAACTCTGGTATTCTACAGAATTGGTTGGTCGTGGTGACAGCTGACCTAAAATCTAAAAATTTACAAAATAAAGAATAGATTTGCTTGTCTTTTGAAATTCTGCTTTCCTGGAGTACTTCATGGCTCTAGGTACTATTTTTTGTCAGCAGATATAAGGATGTACTCATAGTCACATCACAACCTCGGAGCCTGATCTTCCCTGGTTGATAGCTATTGGAAATGAGTCTTCAAGGACTGTGTTTCACAGATGTCTTCGAGGATTAGAAAACTAAAATGGAACTACTTCAGAAAAAAGATCCCTAAATTTCATTGGCTTAAACATCAAACTCTATTGCAGCTGGGGGAGGTGGTGGTGGTGGGTTTGCAGGGGGCAGAGGAAAAATTGCTGAGATTGTAAATCTCCTTCCTTAATCAAGTAAGTTGTAGAGACAGAAAAAAAACCAAACCCTTCTTGAACGTGCTTGAGAATCTGAGAGATTATGGAAACTACATGAAGAATGAAGAAAAGTCATCCTCTGCTCAAAGGGGCTGGTTGCATACCGAAAACAAATGATGCAGCGGCGGGAGCATGGAGAAAAACATAAATAATAAACAGGAGGAAAGAGTTACTCTGAAAAGAAGTGTTTACCATAAATTGGAATAGTACTTCAGACCTGAGAAGGCTTCCTTCTTTGAAAGTAAAAATCAGATGATTAATCTTCAAGTTTTCATGCTTCGGAGATTTGATAGGAATCTTTTATTCCTGTTTGGATTTGCTAGGTGTTGCAGCCTTGTCCACAGATAAAATTTGGGCTCAGAGTATATAAACACTGGTAAATTAAGCTGTATTCCTGTAAATACATTCTAGAAAATGCTTCATCCTCACAGAAAGAAATAAGTTTTTGTTTGCATTACCGATACTCGTGAGTTGATACAGCTGTTTCTCTTTCTAAGACTTCTTTTATCCATGCAGTTCCAAGTAAAGCTTTGGGGGAGAAGGGTTTTACAGATTATTTTAGATCCTGCAGTTCCGTGATCACAGCAGAATATAAACTTCCCTTATGAGCTCTCCAGTTTTTCTTGCCCTCAATTACAAAGATTCTGTAATAACCTAAAAGTGGTAATTTTATTTGATCTCCCAAAGTTGTCTTTGAGAGAAGACAGAATAAACCAATATTGCTGTTTAAGTTTTGATCAACCTCTTACTTCCTTGTAGCCCAACCTGAACACAATATGAGTAGGACATAAAATGGAAATCTGACTTGGTGAAAGATGGGGCTGAAGGACTTGAAGAACAAATTATTTAGAGAAAGACAGTTTGTTATGTTATAGTAATAACAACTAATTTTAGTCTCTCTTGTAATTTGAAATGCAATGCAATGCTGTTATTTCTGTGGATTATTGTTATTCCCCCCTTCCTCCCTGTGATTTCTGGCTGTTTCTTAGTGTTCCTGGCTTGTTGTCTAGACACACATTCCCCATTGGGTATTTCCACCAGGAGCGAAGACCTCAATCTTTGTTCCGTATGAAGGCAGTGCTAGGGTTAGGATGAGAGTAGGAGAAGAGGTCTCAATGCACCTAAATAGCTAGATTTGTTCAAGTTGCTTCTTTTATCTATATCTAGTGTTTCCTGTCTGCTAGTTTCCATCTCAGACAGTTGACTGAATGTCTCTGTTATGGAAAATCAAGTAAATGATCTATTTATAATAATGTTCTGAGCTAAGATGGATTGGCATTAGCTGGTCTTTGTGCAGGTAGAAGAGGCATACCAACCAATCTTTCATATTAGGCTTTTGGAACTAAAAAAAAGACTGAATTGAATCTCCTCTTCATTGAGTGGGCACAATGTGAGGAATTATGGTTGGTATTAATCCACTTTATAGACAAAATGACTGCCCTCCTGTGATTGTATGCAACACAGCATTTAAATATAGCCAGCGTCAGTGTTTGATAGTTCATGGTCTGTGGGTTTGGCATTTGTGTAGGAACGTGGATTTGTAGATGTGATACTTTGGTCTGTATTTCTTAGTTTAATCATGACATATTTGACTAAACCCAGCGTACTTTAATTGGAGGACAGCACTAATGTTTCAGTTACAAATAGCTACCTGTCAATATTGTCAATATTTACCATCATGGTATCATGTCATTTGCTTGATCCTCAGCATAAGAACAGTTCCATGATCAAAACAGCACACAGAAGTGAGCATTAAAGTTACAGATGGAATTTTATGTGCATCCTTAGTTTTGAGTGGTACACAGTGCCACTTGGTTCGAATTAAAGTTATCTTCAGCCAAAGAGTAAGACATCAGTTTAATGTTCTCAATGTTCGAGGAAAAAAAATGAAACTATCCTGAAAATTCTTGAATTACTTCAAAGATAAAAAACAGTGTTTGTCAGCAGCTACTACTTGGAATTTTCTGAATTGGTAGCAGCAAACCACATGTAGATTTTCAGTTATTTTCCT